GGGTTTGAGGTATGGGTCCAAGAGGCTTTTCTGCTTCTTTTATCACGATACACATGCGTACCGATTTTCGTACATGTCGGCCTTACGCGTCTTGAGGGCTGATGGCGGAGCCCGTGCACGGGGACAATTGCATACGTGAGTTTTTGCCACGTTTGAATTTTGTGCAAATTTCCATGAGTTTTTGAGCAAATATGCAGTCAAACAGGCAGCAAAAAATAATAATTCCTTCAATTACAATAGGGCCTCCCAGAGGTCGCTGGCTCGGTCCCTAATTACATATATTTTTGTGCTTACTTTATGTTTTTGTTTCCTCAGCAGGTACAGAAGGAGACCTCTGTGATGGCTCCATGGATGTAAAATAAACAGTTCAGAGGACATGAGCTGATGGGAGGAATTAAACTAAGCCTACATTACTGCAGAGACCTTTGTTGGTCTGGTTGGCCTGAAACTAACATGTAGCTCACATGTAGTCACATGTGCAGCATCTGATCTGCATACCCGCCACAGCAAGAAGAGGAAACACGAGGCTTTTCATGCTGTATGTGTCATTAACTTTGTAAAATAAATTATATAAATAAATGATAAAACAGTGGTCCTTGTGTAATTATTCTTAACTATAAAAGCAAACGGTGTAAAAGCATGCATCTGTTTGACAGCTGAAGTCAACTGTAGCTGTTGTAAAACTTTAAATTAAATTACCTTTTTACACTGTTTTACACTGTGGTGTTGTAAATACCTCAACTGCTATATCCTCATATACTATAGCCTGTCACACCTGCTGGTAAAGTGGGAACCAAACACCTCTGACAATGTTTCAGCTAAAAAAATTTGAGTTTGTCTTGTTGATTTTAGACTTGTTTGGTATTTGTGAGAATGCAGACATCCAAATCCAACTGGTTTCTGAATGTAGAGAAAGTTTTTTTATCAGTATTTTAGAATAGCTAAGAAAGCCTAACCAGCTAAAACATCGCACTTCCTCTTAGCATCTGTTTGGTGTGTTGCTACCTGTTGTTGCCTAGCAAGACAAGTAGTTGGAATTTTAAGCTAAAGGTGCTATTTTTCACGTAAAATGGAAAAGCGAGATAAAATATAGGTTACAGTATATGAGCAAATAAATGACTGAATGAGACTGACAATGTTGCTAGTGGCCATCGCATAAGCTCACCTTTTAGGAGTAGTTCAGAACATTTGTGAATGGTTCTGAAACGATTACTAACAAACTTAAGATATTCGTTAGTTAAGTTCTCAAAATTGGAAGTTTGCTTTCTTCCTTCTGTGTTATATGTTTGTAAATCAAATACAATGGGATACAGTTCAGTATGACAATTTTATAGTTTTATAAACTAAACAAAGAACTGTACTGCACACACAGTTCCTACAGGACTCCTCCACAGCTGACTTCTTTGTAAAATTATTAAATGTATTGTAAATTATGAATTGAAACAATCAAAAAACATAATTCAATTCATAATAATTAAAATTAATCATAATAAAAACTAAAGTTAAATGAATAATACATACAAATTCACAGTGTTGAATGATGCCATTTATTTTTCAATACTTAGAAAAAGTACCTGAGAAAATGCCTTCCATTTCCTTTTACACTTTATTCTAACAAGCTTACAGGATACTTCATAAGTACTTCATAAAGGTGACTCTGGAGTAAACAAAGGCAGCAAGCATATGTGATGACAAAAACAGAAGAACTTCTGCAAGTGTTTTATTTATCAGCTCTAGCTGCTTTTTCTCTGCATAGATGAATATGCCTACTGAGGTATTCAGGAGAGGCTCAGAAAGGTAGAGGTCATGAGACAAAACGAAACACTGGCAGAACTGGCATCATATCTATACAATATATTGATGTGGCAATACATTTCTTTCTGTATCTTGATTTACTTCATGAACATACACAAATAGATAGATAATAGATAATAATAATAATAAATGATATGATATCTTTATCTGAATAAGTGCCAAATGAAATGTGTTTGAGTTTAAGATGAAAGACGGTCTACAAAATTGCAATCAAACAGTATATATAGGCATGTTCAGGTGCATAAATGCTTTTTTCCATTCATTGCTACTCAGTGATGGAAGGAAGAGATATAGAAGCTTCCCTCTGTTCATTATGTCACTGAGAAACTCTTTATACACATATAATGAAACATTGTGTGTTTGAGACATTTTTAGACATTCATACATTCATTTTAAAAAATACTTACATGCACTTTTAAGCATTGGTAAATTTGAAAATACATATTTACTGTTTTCATATTTAAGTTCTTGCAAAGTTGAGTGTAAAAGCTTGTTATATAGAACTTGTCCCCAGTCCTTATAATCAGCGGATTTTTGGGATAAAATAAATTCCTGCCTGGATACTGATTATACACTGAGGCTGAATCTGGCATCATGTTGTCTTTATGTTATCGTCAAAGGCAGCGAGATTGAAAGGCAGTTAACCAGGTCCCAGAGGAGTTTCCAAGCAGCCAAACTTTCCCTTCAGTTTATCACATCGACCCAGAGTGCACTAAGCCAATCAAAGGGTTAGGGACAGCATTAAACTCAGCAGCAACAAGCCAAGGCTGTGGGCAGTAAAGACAGCTGAGTTCCTGAACGTGATCCGGCCTTCCACTGCGGGGTACACTCGCTTCATGTCCATGATGTATTTGGAAAAAACAGATATGTCCATATCACCTGCAATAGACAATGGGAAATAATAACTTGGTTAGTATTTGGCTGGTATTTTCTGATATTATCCAAATAAAGGTGTATCTCCTTGCTATCCATGCTCAGAGCCACCTGTTGTCTTTCCTCACAGTGTTATAAGCTCTGTGAGCATTAGAGACAGCTGCAGAGCCATATTAAAACTATACATCTGCTTACGATAAATCATTCTCACCAGAGAGAGTTTACATAAGTTCCCCAAGAGTCCCAAAAGTATACTAACAGTATGTATTACTTAGGTGCCCCTCTTATATGAGTGGACAGTGACTCTTTCCTCAGCGATCACTGCTGGATAAACGGCACCCCTCAGTGTCTTGCTTGTAGCACAGCTTCAGTCATAATGTCCTTGTATTCATTTCAAGTGAGTGAAACGTGACTTTTAAATATATCGATGAGTGAGGGGAAGCCAATGCATAAAAAAAGAATTATTAAATTCTTAATATCAGTTATTGCACAGAAGGAAAAAACCCACAAAAACACCAGTAAACAACCACGCTAATGGACTGTATTAGGCACAGCGGTGCTTTGAGCTAATGCTAACATCCGCATGCTAAAATGTTGACATACTGATGATTTCTGTTTTGAGGCCTTTCCATCTGGAGCAAAGTAGAATCAACAACCATCATCACAATCCACTGAACTGTGGAAACTTCTTGGGTGCAACACAACATCCTGCCTTTCATCAGTTATTGTGCTGTGTGGCAACCCCTCTTTCCTCTGCGGGCTCTTACGGAACTGTTTTTGAAACACTTTTCCATTGTTTTTGCATTGACATTTCAATGTCACACGAGGTGCCTGGTTTCAGAAATCTGAGCTAGAAAACAGCTTATTGTTGTAAAACAGTGTAAGATCAGAGGTTAAATAGGCCTGACAGCCCTTTTTTTAACACAGTCTTTTTTTCCATAATGTTTCACAGCATACTGAAAGTGGGAGGAGTTCATTCTAGATTCACATGGCACTCATGGCTCCCCTAAACCGTTTCCCACTTGTGATAAAAGGTCCATACATAATCTATGAATTTGACTTCATGTTCCAAATATTCTTTCAGAGAGTCCATTCAGAGACATTTAAAGGTTGCTAGTGAGCGCCACCCTGAATAACTAAACACATGTAATCAATGAAAAACCCTGACCAGCCCCTTCAAATGATTTATCATTAAAACAACATTAAAGTTCAGGGCTTGGAGTCCAGTCCAACAGGAAGGAAAAGCAGGGGAGGGGAGACATTAAAGACTGCCAGCTCTATTATTCTATTATTCTAATCAGAAGCACTGGTCGGTAATTGCCATCTCTTTGCTTAGCTATATACATCAAACAGAACACCACATTGGCAATATAAATGATATTAATATTAATTTCAATAAATACTCATTTCATCTCACAATTGCTGCTTACCTGTGTTATGCTTCATTAACCCGTCCTTAATCATGGTAAAGCCATCGCCTCCGCTCACCATGTATGAAGGCATGACCACTGTGTACGTCTTCTCCGGTTCCAGCGGTTCATACTTGGGAACGCGGCACTGAGTGCAGAGCATGGACAGAGACACTACACGCTGGTTCACTGGTTTGGAGACGTCATACTTAACACGAATGCCTAAAAATGTCGGAGAGAAAATTAAGAAATGTTATCTTTTGCTTATGTAAGGGTTGTTCCCCGTGGATAACACTAACAATAGAAACAGGAACAGTGTGACATTTTGGGACATGTGAATTCTTTTTGAAAGCTAGATGGGAAGATTTAAAAAAGGCCTTGGAAAGTCTTCTCGTTGAAAGTGAAGCTACCACCAGCAGCCAGTTTGCTTGCCATAAAGACTGGAAAAAGGGGAAACAGGTAGTCTGGCTCTGTCAGGATTTGACAGCCAGTATAACCACAGGTCGATGTTTTTACCCTGTTTTTACACAGATTAACTCAACAAGATGTAGCATGTCAATTTGCAGTTTTTGGGCAGTAAGGCATTACTCAGAGGACAGACTGCTGTGGTATGCATTAGCTTGGCACAGGGGTAGGAGGCAGTTAGCCTCTTCAAAAATAGATGAAATGCACCTTCCGATCCTGGTATCTCAAAAGTTGAGGATGACACTTCTCTGGAGCGCGGTCAGTCTCCAGGGTTAAGCTTCGCTGCTGTCATTCAGTATATCTTAACTGCTGTTACATTAAACTGCTTGCTTAATGTCTTGTTTTGTATTTTTATACGTGTTACATTCAAAATATGTGACACGTGGTTATGTGGGGTCTTTGGAGGTGTTTAAAGGCACCTTTAATGGTGCTGGAAAGAATAAAAGTAAATTAATGAGTGACTAATAACAAGTAATTAGTAGAGTAATATAAACGTTTAAATGAGTGGTAATGAGTCCCAGTTAATTGATTGCATTTTTCAATGAACTTTCCCAACACTGTTATTTGTTTGTCAGATTTTGATGCCTTTGGACAGAGCCAGACTAGCTGTTTCGTCGTTTCAAGTCTTTATCCAATGCTAAGCTAACCAGGTGCTGATGGTAGCTTCATATTTACAAGACAGACAAGGAAGTGGTATTGATCTTCTCATGCAACTCCTGGTAAGAAAGTGAATAAGCATATTTAACTAAATGTTGAATTCCTTTAATACAAAACCCGAGCAGAGAAGATAACAGTTAATATTATTCTAGGAGACCATGGATGAAACAGTGTTGGTGGAGGAGCAAACGGGGCAGAAGACACACCTGAGACTTGAAGAAATTCTCCAGACATGCTTCCATATCTGTGAATGGAGTGTTCAAATGCCTTTTTCACCGTTGATCCTTTTATCTGGACCAAGTCAAAGGTTCCTCCAAATGGTAAGACAGTGAGGATCTCCTCCATAGTAATGGAACCTAAGGGCAAACACCATTAGGTTATGAAAAGAAACTACAAATGCAGCCAGTGGAAAGTGATATAATGTAATAAAGCACTCAGTAATTCTGTAGAAAAAACACTCAAGTACCATTTTTGTAGCGTTCGTCTATAGCTGTCCGTATGGCCCCGCTGTTCAGCATACATACGCCCACATGATTCCACTGCAGGTCACTTGAATACTTTATATTGTGATAAATCTGGCAAAGCAAATGTGTTGTACAGCAGTTAAACTCGACTTCTTGGAAAACGTTGCTCTCGTGTCCTTGTGGTGATTGACCCTTTATCACTGAGGACTTCCTAAAGTGGCATTTATGTCAGCCTCCAAACCCCTGCAGGCCCTTCAATTCCACAAATTCCCACATAATGCTGAACATGTACAGGCAGGATCTGAGTTTAGTTTTCTTAGTGGTTAATAAACCGAACAACAAAGTGACGGCGTAAAATATACTGGATATTTTGTCAATGAATGAATGAGTGTACTAAATGTTGACTGTAATTATTACCATGGCATCACAGATCAGGTTTCCAAGATTACACTCCCGAAATCGACACTCTTCAAACGTCCCATTGAGGTAGACTAAGGTTTGTCCCACATACTGGGAGGAGTACTGAGCCAAATCTTTCTTCCATTCCCTGATGTCAGCGAGGATTTTTGGGTCTGAAAGAGTTACAGAGTACTTGTAAAGAAAGGAGCTTGTTGAATAAACCATTGGGAATGACGAATAGATTTTGTGTTTTTAGAGTTTGGCTATAATTTGAACACACAGAGCATGAATTAAACTGATCAAATATAATCTAGATGCATTTGGATTTTTTTATGAGTAATCTGAAAGTAGCAATCCAAGCATTTGTTTCGACATCATTTGATTCAAACACCACTTATTACTCAAATTATTCCAAGATGTGCAGTAATAATGTGTTTATTGGAACACTGCACACAGCAATGGTTTAATTCACTTAACGTCACATCAACATGATACAGTCTCAACTAGCTCAACTAATTGTTTCAACCTTTCAAGCAGTTGAACAACAACTGTAAAGTCAAACATGGATCTTGTGTAATAACTGACGTCTACCTTGAAGTATGCTGCTGTCCATTAGGATGGGGTTTCCAACAGCTTTTATCACATTCCCCGCCTTATCAAAGGTAACTTTCAGATATCCGAGGTACTTCCCAAAGGCATAAGCCTGGACCACTGGCACATCTCTCCCGTCATCAGACCTCACCATAAAAGGGTACGGACCTGCTGGTATTTCAGTGGATGGGGGGTCTCCTGCAGAGAAACAGTGCACTGTTTACCACTTCCTGTTACAGTGAAGGTAAAAAACCCATGGCTTTGCTCTTGCACTTCTGAACTCATTTGTTGTATCTAGAGCACAGTTTAAGAAGAAGAGTGTAGTGTGAATGCTAAAAAAAGACTGTAGCCAAACATCAGCCACTAGAATAGAGCTTAATGGATGGAAATACCAGTATAGAGGAATGTGTTGGTGTGTCCTCCAATAACGACGTCAACCCCTCTCACATTCTTGGCGATTTTTTTATCCACGTCAAAGCCGGAGTGGCCCAGGGCAATGATCTTATTGTAGCCCAAAGTTTTCAGTTTATCAACCTCAATCTGAAGTGCCTTCACCTCGTCCTCAAACTTTAGATGTGGACCTAACGGGTGGGGGAAATTGGGTTATTTTACATGGTCATAAACTTCCAGTAGTAGCTCTCATACTAGTGAATAAAACTGGAGAAAAGGAAGAGACACAATATACAGTATAAACCAATCTGGAAAAAAGCTTTAGAGAGTGTTTCATTAAGTGATTGGTCTGTATACTCGCTGTACACATGAACTGCTGCATGCAACAATGTGCAAGGACATTAAAACCTTCATTAATCAAATAACAGAGTGTGCCTTTACCTGGCATGGATAAGAAGGGGGTCTCTGCGGTGGTGTAGCCGACCACAGCTACGCTCTCTGAGCCCACTTTTATGACTGTGTAAGGCTGGTAGTAAGAACTGAGATTTGCAGCCATAGTCTGGTCAGGCTTTATGTTAGCACTCACCACAGTGCAATTAACATTCTGGAGGAAGGGCTGGATCAGACCCTCCACCCCATTGTCAAACTCATGGTTTCCAAAAGCCTTAAATATAAAAGAATTGTATTAACTGATGGACTCACATAATGAAAATAAAAAATAACTAGATATTTTCTGCAATTAAAGCAATTTCTTTAAAAAAAAAAAATATATATATATTCAGCTGTGTGGTCGCACATTTAGAAAATCACAATTAAAAGAGTACTTACCATAACATCATAACCAAGTTTGTTCATGAAGTATGCTGCTTCGGCGCCTTTGTAGTAGTTGAACCAGACAGTTCCCTGAAACTGGTCTCCAGCATCCAGCAACAACACATTCTTCTCCTTTTTCCGGATCTCCGTTACTTTAGTGAACCTCCTGGCGACCCCAGCGAAGCAAGGATCCCCGGATGAACACTTTCCCGAGTCCTTGCTGGTCTCCTCGATCCGTGCATGGTTGTCGTTGGTGTGAAGCAGTGTCACCTCGAAAGTCGACACTGTGCCGGAACACTTTAAAAGCAGAAAGAGGCAGAGAGAGGAGGTGAAGAGAGCGCACCGAGACGTCCGGACCCTCATCGTGGCGCTGTGCGTAAAAACGCACCAGGGACTAGTATGTATAACACATGGAAAAGGCGTGGTACGCTTTTCCTGTAGGATGTGTTAAAGCAGAGCAAGATACCGGGGTCTCAGTAGGTTAGATCATTCTCACCTGAAAAATTAGAAAAATAGATGAAAAGTAAGAGCACACATTATAAAGGGTTTATATGCTGCAATTAATGAGTTTATAAATGGTTAATAATTGTTTTAAATGTCCCTTTTAAGCAGGTAATAAAAACGAGTTGTCAGGTTGTGAAAAAACCTTTGACTTATGGTTGGACACTTGGACACACAAAGTGCTGCAGGAGGATCCCGACCAAACTTAATTTATTAATAAAATATTTATATGGTACAACAGCATCTGAGATGAATGTCTTTATACAGTCCCTGACCAATACATTTAATTAACTATAAGTATCTCATAATTTCAAATTAAATCAAAATGTGAATGTTCTCTCAAGTATGTGACAATTCTAACTTTGCAGCTCATAATTTAGACTTTTAGTATTTAAAAAAAAAGTAAAATAGTATTTTCTTTTTAAAATGTTTCAACCATCCACAATTTTTCTTTTTAATTTCTTTCCTGGAATATGCTTCCAGACCTTCCCTTTCCAGTGAAAAGGTTATTTTTAGAAACATACTTTAAATACATACCACAAAATCATAATAATAGCTCAAGTACAAAATATTGGCTATTTACACAACTGAATGAACTGCTGCACTCTACAATCTGTATGAAGTAAAATGTGCTGCACTGATCTGTCTGTTTTGCAGTGCTCCTCACCCAGCAGCACCTCTTAGTGGAGAGACTAGGACTGAAACACTTTTGAGAGAGACTCCCAAATATTGCTAAAAAATGAAACACCTTAAAAAGGTATTTAATCTAATAGTATAGACCACTAACTCACTAATGTTTAAAATATCCTGAGCAATACCAACACTGTGAACCAAACATCATAATAAAGAAAGTTAAGAAAACCTAGTAAACAACAAGGATGTAACATCACTGAAGATACATATTAATAATTCATCTGTAATAATGGGAATATTTTTTTATTTTTTTATACTGCTGTAGTGCAGATTTTTATTTGAGTGTCCACAGATATGCCTGCAAGGAGAGGCTGCTCAACATGTCTTTATGTGTTCTGAAAAGAATGACAGAGACAGATCTCAGCTATCATGGAGTGAAATCAACATCAATAAAACTTGACACAACAATGAAAGAACCCAATGAGCGATGAAAACTGACAATAACTCAATAATAAAAAGACCGGAGCGTGACTGAAATTGAAATTGCTTGCATCACTGCAAAATGGTTTGTGCTTTAATTAATTAATAAATCTCATTATTTACAGGAACGCTACACTGCTTTGAAGTAAGTATCCTCTAGTGTTCAATGAGAGGCTGCACACCAGCAATATACCAGCAAAAACCAGGTTTTCTAGTTTTTAAACTTTACCAGCAGAGGAACGGCTCTTGTCAAAGGTGCCCTGTGGAGTTTTCACTTGAATGAACTTACCTTAGAATTTACGCTTAGTTAATGAAATGCATTACAAACACTGATTTGTGTGTGTTATTGAGATGTAACAAACATACTGAATGTATAAAGCATTTAAAAAGACGATTTTCAACTTTGAACTTTATTATTATCCTAAAGGAGATTTATTTGGCAGCCAGGTCTTGAATGCAATCATAACTGGAATACAATGATGTAAATAAGCAACAACAATCTACAGTCAAAAACAAAAAGGCAATGTAAAATATATATTTTTAAAGACTTAGGAATATAAAGAAAGCCAACCTGGTCCAACTCCTTCCTCTCCTGTTCAACCTGGAACCCGCACTGAATCAGCACTACACAACTACTCTGGATTCCCTCTGCCTGCCATATTCCTCCTGCCCGAACTCCTGCCCTTGCCCTGTTCAGCTCCTTGGTTCTCCCTGGACACAAAGACTGCTGCTCTATCTCAACCAGTCAGTACAGTTTGCTCATGAATCCCTCCTTGCACCAGTTCCTCGTCTCTGCTTCTGTGTTGTGCATTTGGGTTCACACGACTAGCCTCTTCAACACATACATAACAGAGAAATATGTAGGATTTAAAGCCAGGTTTTCAGGGGCTTTAATGTTTTGACATCTCCATTGTTCATAAAGATTTATTTATTTACGTATGTACAGGCAGTCAGTTGAGGTAGTGGCAAAATACCTGCAGTACCCAGGTATAGTTTTGGATCAGTGCCTGAAATTTGACAGTAATACAGTAACATATTTCAACAGTGTCTCCAGTGCCAGTACTTTCTGAAGAAGCTTCACTCATTTGGGGTTAGTCCCCACATCATGTTAACTTTTTACAACTGCTTTATAGAGAGTCTTCAATGATCTGCTGGTACCAGTCTCTTACCATCTAGGACATAATTATTTTCCAAGGTCATGTGTCTTCCTTCAAAGTCTCTGGGCACTTTACAAGCAACACAGTCTTCAGAAGGCCCGTTAAATCCTTTATGACCACACACATATTCTTCCTGGCTCCCCTCTGGCCAACATCTGCGCTGCCCCAGTTGCAGAGCAAATAGGAGAACAGAAACCTCCACAACAGAGGTCATTTGTCTATTGAACTCGGACACCTACCCTCAGGGAATCTAACCCTCCCCACCTCCCACAGACTGACTGATGTGCCTAGCATGTTGTTAGCATTCTATTTATTGTGCTATTTAATCATGTGTATTTATCAGGATGTGTGTGCATGCTCTGCTGCATATAATTTTTAATTGCCACTCTAGGGATAAATACAAGTTCTTTGAATTGAATTAAATATCCATGTTTGCTGTATCACTGTTTTGCAAGCACATATTTATGCTTCCTGGCATGTTACCACCAGTAACTGTTGGAATTTGGAATAGTTGGAATAGCGTGACATGCATGCACATGTCCATCATTATACACATGCCTGTAGAGCATGACTCACAAGAAACAAACACATTTGGGCCCGTTCATTAAAGTGCAGGCAGTGATACGTTAATCTATGTTAACACATCATCATTTATTTGTTGACTCTATTTTGTATTGAATATGTAACTTAAGCTGTCAAATTAATATAGTGGAGTTCCATAGCACAAAATGGAAGCACTCAAGTAAAGTACAAGTAATTCAAAATTTCACATAAGTACTTGAGTAAATCTACTTAGTTGCTTTCCACTGCTATGTACAGGTCAGCTAGATCAAACAGCTCTCTGAATCACCTTTACAGTCTTTCATGTGAACACAGGCAGGACTCTCTACAGCGCTAAATGCAGTTTGGTCTGTGCCACCATCAGGAAACCAGCAGCTCACCAAGTGGGTAGTCTTAACATGCACTTGCAGTGTTTGGTGTAAAACAGTCCACAAAACTGCTAAAGGTTGCATCTATTACAGTCTGACACAGGAGTTGACACAGTTAGACAGATGGTGTTGTACTTGTGAAGCTAAAGCGTAAACACACTTCACACACACAGTGATATTGGGTTTCTCCAGCCATTGAGGAACACTGAATCCCTGTGTCCTTTGCTTCTGGTCCTCTAGGGGGGATAAAAGCACTTTTTTCTACAGACGCCTGCTGTGACTACATAATATTTAATGTTGAGGAAACTTGAGCAAAATGTAGATGTGATAAAGCAGGTTAACTTTCTGCCATCCTTGATTGAAGCGAGTCTTCGTGGGCATTGAGACGAGAAGTGTTTACGCAATAAATCATCTGCTCTTGGCCTCTCTTGAAATGAAGCAGCAGCTGCAAATGCAACCCTACATTTCTGACATTTACATTACATATGTAACAACATAATGTCTCTCCAGGATCATCCACAGCCTTGATTTTCAGATATTGCTGACAGGGTTGATGAATATCAGTGATGCTTGTTCCTAACATGAACCCCTGTGCCCGTCCTGTTCAATAACCTCTCATTTTCACACTCCATGAGCCATCACACACCAGCACTGATGTGTGCCATTAGCACTTGTCTGCTCACTGAAGATTAGGCCGGTCACCTCCGTTCACTATCACCCTCTTTGAGCACACAAACCTCTCACATACAGTATGTAAACAAACACACACACACACAAAATCAGACAGCTTATACCTCCTGGAGGCAGGAAATCAAGTCTCATCTCACACACTCACATAATCAAGCCCTCTTCTTTTCCTCATATCTCAGAGCAGCATGTCAATTACAATGTTTGCCATCTTTACCGCCGGGTAATCTTCCTTTAATTGTTAAAATGAGGCCATCTGTGATACTGTAGTTGCACGCTGTGAATATTTAGAGAGAGAATGATATGCATTATGCAACAAAACCTTAGTGACTGACACAATGGTATCACTGCAACATCATGGCCTGAGCTTAATTAATCAGTTCTATACGCTAGATTTTTCCTTTCTCAAAGTGTGGACCGATTCCAGCTCGGAAAAGTGCTGATAACTGCAGTAAGTTTACCATCTGACCATTCAGCCTCTAAATGGAGCCGGCCACTTCCACTCAAGCCAAAATGAGTCCGACCACATTAACGCAGAGCCTGCTATCAATCAGTACCATCACCACTTAGCTCATTTCCTGTCACATGTTTTCCTTTAGGGAATAAAATTCAGCCCTATACACACTGCATTTAGTCTAAACTTCCTGCCCTCTTCTTCCTTGTAGCTGTCTGCTGAAATGCTCTACAAGTAAACAGCCTTTTAATTGAGTGACCCGCATGATATTCACAGCGAGGGTCTCCCAAAAATGGGACACAAGACCTCCAAAAACTGGCACAGCCCCCTACATGGTGGCACCAGCGCCTTCATATGATCACCCTCCAGTTGTTAATAGAAGCCCATATCTCTCCCGATGCATTTTTAGCCAGAGGCCTTCGAGAGCTGACTGGCAGAGCAGGAGGCACCATATGCCGTCAGACCAGACTGGGGACGGGTTCTGCAACTCAACAAGTGTCCTATATTTGATTCTCTCATTGTACTTTATTGCAGCCTTCGGTTTATACAGCGGTGGAGG